ACAGTTTCAAAGCAAATTAATTCAAATTCAAAACTTTAAATTCAGTTTCAGTTTAGTGAAATTTATTTTCAAACCAATGAATTCAGTTTCAAATTCTGCACATTCAGATTAAACTCCTGCTGGCACAAAGTTTATCCCAAAGTTTTGCTCTTCTATACAGTTAATTACGTGAATGAGACATTTTAATAGAGAAAATGTGCCTTACGTCTGCAGGTGGTCCAGGTCACACGGAGAGCTGGGACCATCTTCTTTTTGGACCCGTCCGCTGGGCGGGGCCTCCTCCAGCTGAGAGTTACCAAGCCTCTGCGGGGGTTTGGCCGGAGACAGAGGGCAGGGCTTCGCGAAGGATTCCTCCACCGAAGAGCAGCGGTACAGTTTGGGCTTTGAGGTAGACGGCTCGACGTCCTCCGCCATCAACTTCCTCTTGAGCTTTTTGGGAATCTGGGGCGCCTTAACTCTGTGTCCTTTGGCCAGGTAGGGTTTAATGACATGGAGCGGCCGCTGGATGAGGATGTAGTCAAACTCCACGTTGGTTCCTGATAAAGGAACTCCAAGTTGTACAGAATCTCCAAGCYGGAGCAGATGGGGTTCATCAGCAGGTAATCGATTTCCATTCACCCACACACCATTGAGACTCTAAGAAAAAGATGTTCATATAAACATCAATCATCTGTTTAAACTGTTTAAGCCATAGATTCTTAACCTATGGGCTGCGGCCCAGAGCGCCACCTTGAGGGCCTCAAAAGAACAACAGTTTTTAACGTTGGGCCGCAGAGGGCCGTGGGACCGCATTGATTTTGAATAAGGTGCAATACATTTCCTCACCACTAGTAGCAGTAGTGCGCCACTCAAACGTTTAACAACTTTTTTAATATGTAGAAGAAGAACCTTAGAAACCTGCCGAGAATGGAAACTTATTTTAAATGAAAAGTAGAAGCAAAAATGAAAGGTAACCGGTCAAAAAAGGCCAGTTTGTCACTAATATGAAGAGCAGCTTCTGGTTCTATAATGCAATATTTTAAAAGTTCGAAACATTATCAAATACAGTTGCAGATACAGCTATATTTTAATTTGCACTTTACCAAATTATTATTTGTAGTTTATTTTTTAATATTTTAATGTTGTTTAAAGAAACTTTAAACTTGTCAAAAAGCTGTTATTGTTTGTTAGGTCAAAACTTCAACTATTTCTGACAAATAAAATTTATTAAGAATTAAAAAGAATTGTCTAAAGAGTATAGCTCTATATTATACACCTCTCAAACCAAATTTAACACAACTTTCTCTCTATTTTTTAAGTTTAAACTGAAAAACGACAACAAACTTACATATTAGCTCRTAAAAACTTTGCTACCTTCTTGTCCGTCACTGTCCACTGGCCGTCCTCCTTTTGTTTGAAGGCACAGTGTAATCTGGATATCATGAGAGGACAGCTTGAAGACAGCAGCTGGTAGKTCACGTCCAAACCACGTCCAACGGTGATCTGCAGTAAAAACAAACACGCCACTACTAATTTTGCAGCTCCATGAATAGTTTCAATTACGTCATTTAATAGCACAGCTACTTAACAATGCATATTGTATCTCCTCACTTGTAATTATGACGTTAATAAGGTCCCTATTAAACTGTCAGCATTTTATCGTCCCTCATCTACAAGCATAACTTCTCACCTCATAAGTAATCTGGAATGATAAGGACATCAACTACAAACATAAATCTCTTTTTTAGAATAATGGTTCAAAAATAATATTATCTGGGTTGACCAATTATTTAATAAGGAAGGCTTTCTACTAACCTACGCAGAATTTATATATAAAAAAACACAACATCCCTGTTCCTCCTGCTGACTATGCTGTGGTTTTTGGTGTCGTTCCATCAGGTGTCTGTTTGCTATTTAAAGCAGTGTTTCCCTAGGTTGGGGTCGGGACCCAARGTGGGGTCCYRAAACATCAAGGTGGGGTCCTGAAAATATTTTCTGAATTAATGACATTTTTGCCTTAGTTGTTACGAAGGAGTGAGGTTAGTGTATTTAAAATGGATAAAT